TTAGATAGACAAGTTCTGCGCAAGCAGAATTTAAATTAAAGTTTGCAAAAAAAGTTAGTTTTTAAGTGTGCCCCCCAGCCTCATGCCCCCCCAATTTAAGATAATGCAAATTAAAGTGGTACAATATTTAATTCACTGAAGTTTATCGACAAATTTCTAATTTTATAAAAAAATTTCAAGAATTACAGGTTTTATACTATTTTAATTTTTTATTATTTCCTTTACTAAATTTAATAAAAAATAGAAATGGTATAAAATCTGTAATACTTGAAATTTTTTAATAAAATTTGAAATTTGTCGATAAACTTTAGTGAATTAAATATTGTACCACTTTAATTTGAATTATCTTAATTTTGGGGGGCACACTTAAAAACTAACTTTTTTCGAAAATTTCAATTTGAATTCTGCTTGCGCAGAACTTGTCTATATAATGTCATTGTAAACTCATATAAATTTGATGTGGGTCCCATGTCTAATAACTAGGGATGGGATTTTAGTTATTTTACCTTTTTTAAACCGATGTAACTATTTAAAAACCAATAATGCCAAAATGTGTTATAAAAGATTTTCTTTTATATTAACCCAACTTGTTTTCACCTTTTTTACCTTTTTTGGAGGATTTTGCTTTAAACTACCTTTTTTATACTATTGTTACCTATTTTTTAACTTGTTTTCACCTTTTTTACCTTTTTTGGAGGTTTTTGCTTTAAACTACCTTTTTATACTTTTGTTACATATTTTTTAATTTGTCAGTTTATTTTCACCTATTTGTTACCTATTTTTACTTATTTTATTTTTTGTGTTCTTTTTAAACTTTGCGCCAATATTTTATCCAGGGCGTGCAACTCAACGATATAAAAATTTTTCTTATGGTCACAGACTGTAACAGTAACTTTCTTTACAATTACCTTCTTTGTAGTGAGCTTATGTTCTGTTATAGAACTTATGTGTAGTGAGTGTCACTCAGTGAAACACAACATTGTGGGTATGTTCTGTGTTTGGGTATGCGGCTAAACAAAATTATAAACGAAACTTAAATGTTTGTGTTTTTTTTTTACCTAAAATACTGTTTTTTTTTAACCTAAAATGCTTTTTTAGTACCTTTTTAGTTACCTATTTTTCAGTTTTTAGTACCTAAATATCCCATCTTTACTAATAACTGAGATATAGGTGTGTCCAAAATCCACCAGCCGCGACTGCGTTCTACCCTAGATTTTTAGATACACTTATCCTCGTAACGAATGCGTAGTTTTTTTAAATTATTTTCATTGCAAGTGCCCCACAAAAATTAAAGTTTTGAAAAAAGAACCCCCTGTACATTGAAAAGCAGTAACTTTTGAAAAAAGTCTAGTACTTTAAAAAATCTTCCATTCGGTTATGTTTGATTACCGTAAGGTTTGGGATCGATTACTTTTAAAATTGGGCTATAATAAAAAAAACAAAAAAGTGATTTTGAAAGCAACGCACAACTTTGCACACTGCGCATAGCAAAAGGGCACATCATATAGGTGCACAATGGGGTTTAACGTGTGCCTTTTTAGTACATAATCAAAAGTAAAAAGAGGTCAAATTCTGAAAAAATGCACGGTTAGGGAGTTATGAGCCAAAAATAAAAAAATGAAATTAGGGGACGCGTCCGGACACGGAAAGAAATTTTTGTGGAATATTATTGATTCATTATCAGCACCCCTGACTCTACATACCATCGAGTTTTCCTTCTACAATCTTTGTTTCCTGGACTAATTAACCATTTGAAATTTTAATAAATAAAAAAAATTGTGCGTATTTCCTTTATTTAAAATAAGCAAGTTAAATTCCATTCATTGAAATTGTGCAATCCATTCAATGAAATTCCGAATTGCATTTAAAAAAATTTCATTCTACGAAATTGTACATTTTTGACAAAAAGTGATCCTAAACTAACAATTTTCATTTCCAAAAGTTTTTTGCTGGGTCATCATGACAAATATACTCTTTTTTGTTAGTGGTTAAAAAAAATGTATAGCAATTTTAAATGTTATTTATTATCAAAATAAAAAGTTCTCTTGCAAAATACAATAATGATAGATAAAATGAAAATTATTGGCACGAGTGCTATTGACGTCAAATTCTATTTTTTAGTTTCAAGTATATTGTAGTTTAAGTTACAAAAGATAAAACATTTTAACATGCAGAACAAGTTTTAAAGATTAAACAATGTGTGATAAATAGAGACCGGATTTTACGCAACATAAAATTACTGAAAAATGCAAGATATGTACGTATTGTACCTACTCATAATAATAAAAGAAGGAATGCCCCTATTTGTTTTTATAAATTTTTTATGAAGTACGTCGACGTATGATCACACATTTTTTGGGGATTTTAGACCCCCTCCTCATAACAAACAAAAACTTTTAATTAAACCTGTTTTATTTATATTTAATGGGGTTTAAGTAATAGATTATTACATTTTAACTCTACTTTAATTTAACTAAAACCTGGTACAAGATAAATTTAATCTTATTTCCATATCAGGTGCCTGTATCTTGTATAAACCCCACAGTTATACGTGTGACGTACCTACTATATAAAAAATCTTAAACCAAAATTAGTAGTCGTATTTTTTTGAAATATCAAAATACGTTTGTTTTTGCATTTAACCATGTAGGTCCCCAAAATAAGAAATATATATCACAATTGTGATATATATTTGTTATTCACAATTATATTACAGTTATATCACAATTTGGAATGCAAAAATAGCGGAAATCAGCAGGTTTTTAGTAAAATAAGCTAAAATCGTTAAAAATTGTCAAAATATGCATTTGCTATAATCCGGTCACTATAGTGATAAACTTTTACCCTTTTGGTTTTGCTAAACCAATGGAAAATTCTTTCTATTTTCCAATCAATGTGGAAGTCAGGGGGGCATTCAGGGCGCCTTCCTGACAGGCAAAACTTTCTCCCTTGAAGAGAATCTAAAACTAAATTAAAATTTAATATATTTTTAATATAGGTAGCAGTTTAAGAAATAATTGTCTTTTTGCACAATAACTCCGGGAGTTAAACTCCCTAAAACTGAAATAAGAATATGGGTCATTTCACGCCAAATCGACCACTTTTAAACTGGACCCGTTTGTCTGAAATTTACTAACACACTAAAAACGTTTCTGTAATTTTGTTAAAATTTTTCTACCCACTTAAAAGTTTGTGCTTTTTTTTAAAAAGCCTAGGTACCTATAGTAATATATTACTTTTTCAAAACAGAAATCGATAAGTTTTTTTTAATTATTTTTTTCAGAAAAAAACATAAAATTAACGTTTTTTTCAAGAAAAAATTTAATGAATTCCCCCAATTCTATAGTGGATCAACTTTTAATTCAATTTTTTATATTTATTTTACTATGAAAAGAAAGTTAAGAGAAATGTTGACCCACCATAGAACTTGCGGCACTAAAGTAGGATAAAGTAAAGCCATAAAAGTGAAAAACATTTTATAGAATAGGACTTTTTTGTATTTTATCTAAAAATTTTAAACTTTTATAAATAAAATTTCAGTCAAATCAAAAGTTGCCGATTTGGCGTAAAATGCCCCATAATATATTATACATAAATGCTCGTAGGTATTAGTTTTAATATTAAAGTCTGGTTACCTATAAAGACCAATGGTCAGCAGAAACACTTTGGCAACGGCCCTTTTTCCAATCATTTCCATTAATTACACTTTTTTAAATCCAACGTCATTTTAAAAGATTATTTATTTTAAGTGAACAAACTTGTTTACCTACTCAATTCTTTAATTTGTTCTCATTTTGCTTTCTTTCACAGTTTTGTTTTAGATACAACGTTGAAACATACGATAATAATATTATTATGTCACAGGGGGTCATTTAATCTAATGTCAATAGTTAAGGGTCAAGTACTGCAATCAATGCCATTTCTTATTTTGTACATTTTCTATAAACAAATTACACACCATTTAAAGAAGTCTATCTTTTTGCCTTCAATTGTTACATTTACGGATTTAAAAAATTGGGTATAGGACCTATACTATAGGTAGGTACCTATAGGTACCTACATTTAATTATTACTAATCTAATTAGTCTTACTTTTATCACAAATAGGTATCAAACCTGCATTAAACTAAACTTGTTTTTAAAAAGCCAAATATTAACAAAGCCAAGCCTCCAAAATTTTGACCTTGAATTTTCTAGAAATAGGGTGTGTCATCTTTACCTGAAGTCCTAAATATTGACCCAGGAAATAGTATTAAATTTTCATAGATATGTAAATACCACTTGTTGCAGATAACTATAGTTATCTGCAACAAGTGGTATATAGGTAACCAATATACCTATTAACAAATAGATATTAATGCTATGGTTGATATTCATTTAAATGGTTGCAGTTATTTGTTGTATGAGATATAGGTACCTACCTATGTGATTAGGTATTTGTGTTCTTCGTAGGTATGTAATTTAAGAAAACCTAACATAAAAGTACTAAGATAAAGTACCGTAAAACGGGGTTAAACGATCATTAATAACGATTAAAACAAATAACTTATCTCTTCGATAAATAAATCGTAATCCACTTGCTTCCTTTTACACTTTCCAGAAATAAGAACATGACCCATAAAATAACTTAAAAAAAGGGCACAAAAAAAGGGTAACGGTGTCAACAAAGGGACCAGAAATGTTTTGTGGAATGACAGTTAAAGAATTGCCAACCTTACCTTTTGAAATTCGGGCCGGTGATTGGCCGAACGAGGACCACACCACTGCGTCAGACCAATGTGACGCGAATAACGTCACGGTCCCCACCACTACCAGCACATGCTTATCCAAATTGTTTTTATAGAATTTCCGCAGTCGTCATTTAAACGCAGAAGTGAAAGGTTAACCTAATTGAACTGTGAATATACGACGATCTGTGATAGTTGTATTGTGTTTTGACATTTTATCTTAATTTAAAAAGCGTACTACTTATATTGTTGTTGATTTTGTGGCGAATAAAAGATGAATTTATCATTTGCTGGTTGTGGATTTTTGGGAATTTATCATGTTGGAGTCGCGTCCTGTTTTCGGAAATATGCCCCCCATTTGTTGTTAAATAAAATTAGCGGGGCCAGTGCGGGGGCTATTGCTGCTTGTGCTTTATTATGCGACCTGTCATTAGGTAAGAAACTATTTTTTTTATGAAATAATGAATACCTATAGGTATAGGTGAAAATTTGCAAATACCTACCTACCTATGTAAGTTACGATACCGTAGGTAGGTATAGCAAATTTAATGAAACTAAAAAGTTATAGGCTATAATGAACGTTTTTTAGAATAACATTTTTATTTAATAATTCTTTCTACTACCTATCGTAGCCCATATATCACGTAGAAATCACCTGTTGTCATTAGACCATTGATTAAACATAATAATTTTATTAATAGGTACCGTTTATTCTTGTTTATTTTTTTTAAGTACCTACTTAATTAAGATCCCATTCCTGGGATTAAATTCTTTGTAATTTATTTACTTAGATTCTAGAAAGTGTAGGTATACCTACACTTTCTAGAATCTAAGTAAATAAATTACTATATATGCTGTAAACGGTACTTGCCTTTAAATTTCTCTACTGCAAAGGAAGTTTCATTTAATTTTGTACCTAACTAGGCATTTAAACAATTTTTTACTCTTAATTAAGTTTAAACTTCTTATTTTTATTTTTATTTTATTTTTTATTAAAATGCTCAGTTTTAAATAAAATTATAACTATAGGTAGCTACCTAGGTGTGTTACCTAATTAAAAGCTTAATATTAAGCAAATTTTACAGGAAATGATAAAAAATCTTGTAAATATTTTGGTGTTTCGCAATATTGCTATTTAGTAATTTAAAATATTGTTAATAAATATACATTTATAACTATAAAATTTATGTATTTATTTATTTAAGTATTTTTATATACATACATAGGTACAAACATTAAAAACTATTAGGTACTTTTATTGGTACCTAAAGAACAAACAAGTTTCGTACATGATAAGGTCGATTCCCACGTGAGAATTTTGCACAATAGGTAACCGCCTATGTATTATCAAAATTTATATTTTTTAATAATACCTACCTATTGTGCAAAATTAGCACAATTTTTAATAACCTTTTTAAGGGGATCTCAACTAATTTTTTATCATTGAATTATCATGTGGGAATAGAACCTTATCCTGTAATAAATTTGTGCTTGTTCTATACCAACACACTTAACTTTTAATTAAATAATTTAATTTAAAAGTTAATTGATTATTAATCTATTATTAGAATATAAATGCGTCATTTTACAATATAATATAATAATGACGTTTTTGAAATACACTTTACACTGGAGATGCACGCCACCCTCCCGACGTAATATTTACCACATAATATTAATTTTAAATGGCATGCAATGAAAAACAATTTTATGTATTAAATTTAAATTTTCGTCAAAAAATAACAGTCCCTTAAAACACAGCTGACACAAATTTGATCAAAATTTATACAAACCGTTAGATATTGGTATTGTGCGGTGTCCGCTTATTTTTACAAAATTTGTTTCGCATATTTGTCTAAAATTTGTGAATAAAGAAAGCAAGTAGTGCCATTATTTAATCTGACAATAAAAGAAAACCTTTTTTCTAAAATGGACTAATGTTGAGAGGAAAAAAGATTTAAAAAAAAGTATTTTGGTACCGGTAACGAACCCTATTCTCGTGGGTGAGAGCCAGATATCTTAACCACCAGACCATACAGGATAATATTATTTTAAATAAAGCTCAGGCGAGCTTGAAGTGCCTTAGCACAATTCTGCGCGCGCGTCCGTGGCCAAAACCACAGTGATCGAGAACCACAGTGGCATCTTTACCGCAAGGATGATTTCACCATACATTTATTTAACCTTTATGTACAGGGTGTCCCGCTTAAAGTTGAACCCCCATTATTTTTCTTATTCCTAGTATAGTTTTTTCGGTCAAAAACCTTTCTTGAATAATTTTTTATAAATATTTAGAATATGAGATTGGATTTTATTTATCTAAAAAATACAAGGCTGAACAAAAAAAAAATTTTTAGTAGAAAAGACATTTATTTATTTTCTACTTAGTATTTTTGCCCTATGAACAATAAGCAATTGCTTAAGCCATGATTTTCATGCTACCAAGTTTATGTCCGTGCTGCCAAATTTCTGTTGTAAAAAAAATATTTTTTAAAACAAAATTGTGATATCTGATAAAAAATGGCAAATCATGGCTCACTTTTTGTTTAATTCTTCTCTAGATCTACTGGTAAGCGAGTGTTTTTGCGCTTATTATATATATTTTTAAATTCACCTTAAAACAGTATATTAGACTGTAAAAATATATATATTTATTTATTTATATATAGGGCATTCCTTTGAAAAAAATATCCCTGTATTGTCGATGAAGAAGATCTGATCTTATATTCAAAAAAATCATGAAAAGTTTTTAACCGACAAAAATATTTTGAGAATAAAAAAACTTATGGGGGATCACTTAAAGTGTGACGTCCTTATGCTTTTTTCCAGCATACGATAATTTGCCACTATGTCGAGCCAATCAGATTGCGGCAACAATGGTGGGGCGTGGCGCGTGTAAAGCCAGATTTAAAATGTGAATTGTTTTATCATATGCTGCATTTGGATTCTTTACTTTCTTAAAACGTTGAAGAACGTAAGATAATAGGTAGTTATTTGTTTTACAAGTGTTAAAAAGCGACTTTTTCGTGCGAGTGTTTAAGTTATTTATTTTTTATTTTATTTATTTATTTATTCGTATCCAACAGGCCCAGGGCCCAATAACAGGATTACGTTTTTATACATTTTATTTTTATTTTCACTCCAACTTCGGAACTATCTTAAATAATATCCATATCCATTTCCATATAATAAGTACCCATATAATATGTTTTCATCTATATTAGAATAATTCTTATTATCTTCTGATTTTTACAAACAATTTTGCTTTAACTTTGACATTGTTGTCAGGCCGAGTGTGCATTAACACGAGCTTGAAGAAAGCTTTTCTTACAAGTGAAACACAATATTTTTTCTCCGACCCTTTTATTTTTTATTATATTCAAATAAAACAAAATAACCTAAAAACGTGTTTGACAGCTGTTAAAATTACTTTCATCTTATTCTTTTAATTTTTAAGGCATAAGTTCTAAAAATCAATAAACTTACAAACACAATTAATTGTGTTCTAATTTAGAACTTCTAAATGATATTTAGACATACATATACAAATACAATACAAATTTTGAAACGAATGTCACGATGCTGTCAATTTCTTTTCATACAGACCTGTCACTTTACATTCGTGTTTTGCCTTGCCAATGAAAAGATTCATTTTTTAAGCAACGATGCCAATACGAAATGTGACTTTTACATAGTGGTCGCAGAAAATAGTATATTATGTATCAAGTTTGATAAACGCCATTTTATACACGAATTTAATGAGTGTATAGAAAAGTTTATATACGAGGTGCATACTATACTTTTTCTACGACAAATACTTATTATTAACTTAAAATGATTTAAATAAAAAATTTGTATAGAGCGCCATCTATGAAACAACAGGGGAAACTGTCAAATGTCACACATGTTACATTTTATAAACACAATTATCTATAAAGGTTATAAATCGAAATGTATTTTGAAAATTGACAGTTTTTCACCGTGAAAGTAAAGGAAATGTTTTATGAGGACTTAACAGTAGAGTCCGTGCCCGAATTTAAGTTATAGTTTACTGCCGGCGAAATTAAAAGGTCAGTACAATGTTCATATAAACTTTTCAAATATTGGCGTTGAGAAACTATTTAATATTTTTGTATTTTTGTATTGAGATAATAAAATAATTTTCACATTTAGTATTATTTTACAAGAAATGCACTTTATTTTAACGATTGTATGACATTTGACAACTGTCAACTAACTTAAAACTAACTTCAGCCCGTGACTAAAAACCTGTTGCTAACTTCAGCCCGTGACTAAAGCTCCGTAAAGCCACAACTTGTCAATAAGTATTTAAAAGGTCACTTAGTGTCATGGAAACATGTACGATAAAGGGCGTTTTAAAGGTGGGAGTAGAAAAATAGCTTTTCTGTTTATACAGGGTGTTTTTATTCAAAATGGGCAATGTAAGGTTGTAGATAACACTATTTTCAAATAAATATTTTAACTTTTATTTTTAAATTGACCACCTTCTATTGTTTTTTCATAAAACTTTTTATCTTCGCTGGTTCATATTTTTATTAAAAATGTTTAATAAAAATTGTAGATATTAAACTGACAATTCCAAAAACATTACTATTTTATAGGTCAATTCTGGGTTCTCTCGTAAAATTTCTGTAAATTCGTAAATCTATAGCTTACGATGATCTGTAACTATAATGCTTATAGAATCGTAAAAGTGGCAATTCTGGGATGTTATCTGTAAATGTCTAATTTAAAGTAGTATAAACGAACTACTGCAACTTCACGCCTATTTACTTACGATCAAAATAACCTATATTTTTATATGTACTATTTGGTTTATCCACAGTTTATCGGTTTTCATTTATGTATCAGCATATAATATAATACAAAAAGTAAGAAATTTAAACTGGTTGAGGAATAAAATAAGGTTAGATAATTTTACATTTAAAAGAACATATAATATAGGTATAATGAATAAAATTGTTAGTGCTTTGAGTGAAGAAGTCAATCAATTGTTAGTGGTAACGCAAAAGCAACAAAGAGAAAAAGATAAAAAAACACCACTCCTCAACAGTTGAACGATATTTGGATGCAATGGATGGAGATTATCCATTGGGCCAACCATGGCAGGATAAATTTGAACAAGGAGCAGAAAATAAAAAAAAAAACATTTTGAGCCTATTAAAAACTATTTAGAAAATTATATAAAGCTGAAAGAAGAACAATTAGGATTTGAAATGAAAAAAATTAAATTTTTAAATCCAAATTTTGATATTTGACCTATTAATTTTTGACTAATTAGAATATTTATTTATTTTGTTGTTTATTTCCTTCTTGGCCGATTAGGCTGTGGATTATTTTTTTTAAGAATAGGTATTATTTTATTTTATTTTCATACCTATGTAAAATAAAAATATAAAGTTTTTGTATTAAT